ACTTTGAGTGGTCGGAAGTTCTTAAATTGACTACGTCACGAATTTTCGATGGTAAAAGTTTTTATTTTTTATTTTTTTTACATTAAAATTTAAAAGTAAGAACTAATGTTACTAAATCTATCCTCAAACTCTCACCTGATAAAAATGTTTTTACGTTGGTTAAATTTGCAAAAATTTAAAAATTCTACAATGATTTTTTGCAGTGCTGGTATGAAATGAAATAATATGCGTCTATGCGTCTGTATTTTTGTACAGCGTGGTTTTTCTGACTTGGTTTCCTATTAATTCTGCTTTGATAACTGGTACAACTGTACCCAACTGATTATAGAGCACCTATTACTCAACTCGATGTGCAACGAATGTATTGGATACTTTTAAGAATAAGAGTACAATATCATGACAATGCTTTAATGATAACATTTTAGTTTAAACATCCACGTGTAATCTAACAACCATAGATACACCAACGGAACGTTTACTAGCAAGTAGACTTGTGCGCTGTCCCCGACATATCGAAATGCATTCACAATGTGTGTTAAAAAATGATACAGTAACAGTGAATGCAATTGTAAATGAAAGAACTGTACGCATACTTTGCTGAGGTAACATTTTTCGCTATAATACTGCTAGAATATGTCACTTATAGTCAATCAATACTACTACATGATTTTTCACTTTCAGCAAAATGAGTGATTTTGTTGTAATTAACAATAGAAACTCATTATCTTACTGCCGTTCTCAAGTAGGTCTCCAGCGAAAATATCATTTCCAACTTGCAACCTTATGGGAATGCTTGGGTAGTTTACAATCTTGAAATGTATATGTATAATTGCAGGCATGATGGCTGAAGCTACACCCTCACCTTATTTATTCAATTGTGTGATATATAACGGTTAACAACTTTACATTTGAAATTCTAATAAAACTGTCTTGAGTTGAGTTAGTAAGAAAAACGTCTAAACGATTATTCAGCATTTGTCTTGCTTTGGTTGTGCCTACCGTAAACATGTGTATACCTATGTGGATATCTGTATTTGAGATTCATCGTAAAAATACCGCTTACAGAAGATGAGGCAGTAGGTTAGCGTGTATCCAGCTACAACCGTTGGATGTGGAATCTGTACTTTGTAATGCTAAGAAGTGATAGTAAACCCAGTCGCTTATCTGTACTGTTCAGGAAAATAATATAGTAGGTAGGGAGATTATATTTATATATATATATATATATATAAT